ACGGTGCGCGAATCGCCCGCGTGTTTGTCGCCTCGACGCGACGCTGCGAAGATGGCGGCGAGTGCGGGTGCGTGTGTGTGCGCGAGTGTGCTGTGCGCGGGACGCGCGTCCACCGGCGCCGGGCCAAGTGGAAGCGGAGAAGGAGGAGGAGAAAGAGGGCGAGCGCGAGCAAGAAGACGCCGGCGGGCCTGGACCTCTTACGACGCCTACAACGTAAGACGAGGACAGGGCGAGAAGGAAGCCGCGGAAGACGGCGCGAGGGCGAGAAGAAGCCGTGCGCGGAGGGGAGGAGGCGCCGGCGCCGGCAACCGCGGAGCCGCCTGCGCGGTGAGCCGCCTGGCAGGCGGTGGCGGCGGCGGGGGCGGCGGCGCCGGCGGCGGTGGAGGCGGCGCGCCAGTATTGATCTGCGGCGCTGTCTCTGTAGGGCCCGCACCGCGGCCTCTGTCGGCGCCGACCTGAACCGCGGCCTCCCCCGCCGCCCGCGCCGCCGCCGCGCTGCGCCTCATCGCGCGCTGCTCCGGAGTCGAGCCGCTTTCCGTTGCCGTAGGCCCGCCCGTTGTTGCCCCTCTCAAGCTTGATTGTGCCGGTCGTGGTTAATGTGATTTTCAAACGTGTGGGTGCGCCAGTGCTGATTACAGTATTCCCTTTCGCTCTTCTGGATAAAGTCAAGATTTGTACGCCAACTGTGTTAGCGTGGACTGAGTTCCTTCTAAGTGTGTAAATTCGCGAAAAGTTAACTTCACATGCCGGGTTCCAAGCGCTATCAGACCGATACTTTTCTGTCGAACTTAAGGGCTACATTGGCACAAATTACGTTGGCAATAAAAAGCACCCCCCTCCCGCCGTCGCTTTCGCGAATTTTTTGCGCGACCGCCCGCGGGCGCGGCGCCCCTGCGGAGCGCGAAGCCCGGCTGGCGGCTCCGGCTCCCCGGCGTTTTCGCATTGTGCGCGGCCGCAGCCCGGCAGACCCGTTTTCGCGAGCGAGCGCGCGCCGCGGCCCCGTCGCGGCCCCGTCGCCCAGGAACGAGTTTGGCCGAGAGTGAACGCGCTGCGCGGCCGCCACTTTCCTTTCCTTCGGCGGCGGCGTCTTCGCAGTGCCGACCGCCTCCCGCCCGCGTACCTTACTCTTCGTTTCATGTCACACCACAGCCCTTTGTGTTCGAATCTGACACTGTTACTCGGAATCGGATTGTTCAAAATGGCCCACTCCACATGGGCAATTACTTACATATTTTTTTCGCTATCTTCAATATGCCTAATGAAAGAAATGAAATAACGGTACGATATTTTTCTCTCATCGCCCGTTTGGTGTGGTGTATGTGTGGCAAATTATTTCCCGGCCTGGTTGCATTTAGAATTGTAATTTAAGATGTGACGTTAGAAACGTCTAGAGCAATGGAGGAATTTTATCGATATTCATTGATCATCAATAGGTTATCCCATTTCAGATCTTTTTCTCAATGACGGATTCTTTAAGGAAAAATACGGGTGCAACAAGGTCATTAATCCTGAACCGAAGCTATGTAATGCATTGAAAGACGTTTCGAATGTTCTGAAAAAATAGTTCCAGAAAATACAATATTAGCAGTATAAAATATGTTTTATGAATAGTATTTTTGCTTGATAGTAAAAGTTCGAGTCAATAATCTGCAATTTAGTGAGAATATTCACCCGATGTCATTTAATTTAAATTCGAAAACGTGATTCTTCTTCTTCTCTTTTTTGGATGATTATGCGAATCTAGGCCCGATTCTTTCAAGGCAGATATGATCGTTTTTATGGTGCCCGCTACTTAGGTCTTCAAAGTAGTGAAGAAACAACTCCATTCTTTCAGTAACATTTGAAAATTGTGACTCCGACCTATGGCGCTCTTGGTAGTCTATGAAGAGAGCAGTCCTAAAGATGTAAGAAACAAAGAAAATCAAAATATCAGTTTCATTGAAACTTCATTGTCAATTGAGTGATTTAAATTCTTAAAACACAGCATCTTATAAGCTTTTCCATATCAATAAAATTCTACAAAATAGTATTATTCTGTATTCAGAGACTACATTATACTTACGTGATTTTTATCACTCTCATAGAATACTTTTATTTGATATTTTGCGCATGCAAAATTTATACTAAATTCAAATGATAATTTTATTTGGATTTCTATGTTTTAAATCCATTCCCATAACTGAACTTCATTCCCTCTTGTTCGTTTGGTGTGTTTACTTAGAATCTACTACGTTCGAAATTTAAAAATGACAAACGTCATATTTCGATTGATAAATGGTTCTGAATTTTTTTAGACTTGCCTTAACGACTAGATTGTGAACGTGAGATATTATATTTCGGTACAAGAAAATCGAATGTTGGATTTTTTTAGAAAGTACCTATTTTGCCTGCACGTTTCTAGCAGTTTTACAAGGTAACATATGTTGATGACAATAATATAAGGATGTCAGACATAATTGGAGGCTTTTGAAAAAGTCTGGAACCTCATCAACAACCATCCGTGCTTGAGACAAAACATTAGCGGCGGTCGCGATAACGATGCTGGGGAAAGTGTTCACTTTTCCGCCTTCCACTAATGTGCGATAACGGATGTTACTTCACATTTTACATCAGTCCCAGGCTAGGCTCGTTTCGGTAATGGGCTCTGTGTTGAGGCTCGGGGATCCGAGAAGGCCTGGCTGCTCGTTCCGCTCTGTGGCCAGAACTCAAGCGTTTCACCCATAAAAACACTTCACACGACCGCAGCTATGTCTGAGACGTCTTAACAACGGCGATTGTGTCGCAATTAGCCTATTTGAAAAACGCTGGAGCGTCGCCTTGCTTGGTTTTCGCCCCCCGCGAGCCTCGCCGTCTGGCAAAGCGAGCAGCCCCGCCGAGGCGCTCCCGGAGCCCGCAGCCGGGTTGCTGACCGCTCGGAGCCGCGAAGCCTGCGCCGGGCTCTCCGCGCTCGCTCGCGACGGCGGTAATGGCGTAAGTCGTTCTTATTTCTACTTCATATTGCTTATCAATTATTGCCGTGGCAGTTAGGATGAATGATAATAATGATTTACATTACGAAGTTATGTATGGCTGTGATAAGTTCATCCACAAGTCTTGCTGATGCTTCACATATCATAACAACCGCATGAAACATAATCAATTTTTGCGTTATATGGAGTTGCGCTAATGGACGGAGCCTTGCTGAATCCCGAAACCGAGTTGGAATTAGAATAGAGGGAAACACATTTTTTGAGCTGATAAGATTATAATTGATTTTTGATCTTAAGGTGTTTTTTCTTCTTGTAAAAAGGAAGTTTATTTTGATGCGGTGAGTAAATTATAGTTTGTGACGTTTAAAAAATATGGATTTTAAAACAATAGGCCGAAAATGAAAAAAAAAACTTACGATAGTGAAATTATGTTTGTTAAAAAATTAAGAAAAAATGAGGATGGTTTTATCCTAAGAAAAGATTAAAAACAAGTCCAACAATGCTTAGTTTTTGTAAAAACAATTTATCTTCTTCTTCTCTCACCCCAAAAGCGTGATTGAATGTCGAGGCATTGAAAAAAAATAGAGGGAACATTTCCTTTTAAGAATTGAAAAAGCACTTGAGTTTCCATAATCGCAAAAGGAGGCGTGTGCCTGCCCCTCCCCCCGCCAGGAGGACCCGCAGCGGCCCCCCGGGCGGCGCCAGCCCCTGCCCCGCCGTCCCTCCCTCGCCCGCGGGCCGGCCCAAACGCTTCACGGGTTAGCTTGCCGGCGCTCCGCTAACAATTGCTCCGGTCGTTATTCGTACGAAACCACTGTCTTATCTGTAAATTTCTCTTACGCACTGGCATTAGAAAATTAAGAAGCGCAATTTAATAAATTTAATCGTTCTAAAGCACTGGGGAGCTAATTTTTGCAGTATTTGAAAATGGCTGTTAGAGAGCCACCCGGGCAGTAGCAAAAGCGCGATGTCAGCCACTGTGTGCCGCGCCGTGTCGCGCCGCCTCCACCCGTCTCCGCTATTTCGGGAGGAAGGCGGTGCGGGAGCGGAGAGCGGGTGCGCGCGTCCCGCCTACCCCCTAGCCGTCTTGCCCTGCCGGTTTGCCCCCTTGTCACCCGCCGCCGCCGCCGCCCTCGCCGTGTGTCCTCCCCCGCCGTGCCCGCGGAGGTGCGCTGCCGTCGCGCGCCGACGCTGCTCCTCCGCCTCCGCCTCCGCCGCCGCCGCCTCCGCCCGGGCGCTGCCAGTCTCCCGCCGGCGACGGTTGGAACGCAGATGATGGATGTGAACGACGGTCGAGCGAATGCGGCGAAAGCCCCCTCTAGAAGGGCGAGTGATGAGATGAGAAGGTCTCCGCTCCCTCCACTTCCATCGGAACAAGTCTTCCTCGAGGATGCTTGGTGCGAAGGAGTGTTTTTCGAGTGAAGTGAATTACTCGCAGAATGAGGAAAAGTGCGGAATGGAGAATGTGAGCTGTACTGTGGATGAGGGAGCCCGACAGTCGGCGTGTTTTCTTGGTTGTAGAGCGGGCCAGCTCTGCGAGGAAAGGCCTGGATCGGGGACGCGCCAGAATTCGGCTGTGCGAAGTACGCCTGCTCCCTGCGGCCGGAAAGGTGCTCTCCTTGACGACGCCTCCGCTTCTGACTTGGCTGGAATGCAGTGTGTGCAGACGTTGAAACCGTTACACAACGTATGTGTGTATGTTTGCTTTCCGCGGATTAGATCGTGTGGGTCGGTGCGTGTCGTTCTGCGTGCGACAAGAGAGCGTGTTCCTCGAATGACATGTGGGCATCGCCACCGACGTCGAATGCGGCTGGGAATCTCCTCGGTGAGTTTGCGTCTTCGACATGTGATGTTTGAACTAACACTTGAGTGTCATTTGAGATTGTTCAAAAGGAATGATGCGTTTGGATGTACTTATCGCATGGTGCTAAAATAAGATTTTGTTGAGACGAAGTATATTTTAGCCATTTTCATTACATTATGTGCAAATCCCTTGGATACGTATCAGTCTTTTCCGAATAACATTTCAACTGTGATACTATTGCCACTACCTGACTTCCATTAAACAAAGTTTTGTTATACTAAAAATGTAAGTACATTTTGTTGTAGCGGTTTCTGGAAATGTCATTTGTAGTATTTCAGAAGGGTATGCATAGATGTCATGAGTGTTAAGTCAGTTCCCTCATAAATATACTAGTCACAGGTATTAAAATTATATGTACTAAATAAGTGTATAAAACATGCAGGTACTAAAATTGTATATAATTTTAGTACTTCTCGAATAAAGTACATTATTTAGTCAAAAAGTAGTCGTTGACTTATGTGAAATTTAAGAATAAATTTACAGCAATTTTAAGAATAAATTTACAGCAAATAAGATTATGCCTAGTGAGCAATTACAATATTTTGAGCAGTTACTATCTTTGAAATTAATTATGATGTGAGAAAGCTCTATATCACACGCTGAAGACTAGGCACATGCGCGTTTCACGACTATGTTGCTGAACTCAATGATTCGTACGTATCCACTTCAGTCTAGTCATGAAGTTCATGTCGCTTAATTTTTTTATCTTTTGCTGCCCTCCTGTAATTAACTGAAGAAATAAAAGAAACATGTAATTTAACCTTAAATATAATCCTTAACTCTTTGTAAAACTGAGGATTTTGCGGCACTGACCGCCTCTCATATTATATCAAAAAGTCCAGATAAACAAACAATAGATTTCGAATAAAAATTTTATAAAATTTATATTCTTCTTTTAGTTGAACTCCTGTAAAAAGTTCAATGTGTTTCACTTATACTAAAAAATATTCTCAATCACAATAAGAAAAAAATAATGCAATATAATTATTTTCTTAGTATTATTGTAAAATAGTGGTCATAATTTTCTTGAATTCCTTTTTATACAACTGGTTAGTTGTAGAATCATAATTAAATTTAAATAATGATAATTACAACTATTAATAGGAGTCAATGAAGCTAGTTTTATTATTTTTGTTCTATTTGAAATCTTCAACTAGAGATAGCACGTGATGCGGATGATCTGGACTCACAGCTATGTATTGTTGTAAGCTCCTACTTAGAATATTTTTAATGTAAGCTCCTTCTTACAACCTTCTTGGAAACAAAATAGCTTCGGTATAGAAGAAAAGTTCAACAATTAAGAGCATGTTAGGACATTTACCTCTACCAATAAAAATATTTTAAATTTGAAAACTCTGTCTTTAAAATTCGCCAATGAAATTAATTTTTTAAAGAAATATTCAAATTCTTAATATTTCAATGTATAAGATTTTAAAACATATACAGGCTATGAATATTTTTTGAAAATTATATTATGTCGCATAAACTACAAAGGTCGTGACCAATGTATTAATTAAATGTAATCAGAAATTATGAAAATATCAATATTTCTACAACATTTTAACACTTTTCTTTATAAATAGGTGATGATACAATGTCACAGAAATTTTCATTTACCAGGTACTATGGTCTCATTTCATTCTGGATGGAGCATCCATATGAATTTTATTCATTTATTCATAGAATATTATTCTCTTCAAAGATTTTGTGCCACGTAAGACGTTTTTAAGACAATAAACGAATCTTATGCTCATTGTTAGCAGTAAATAATTGTTATGTGACCTGCCTCTAATATTTAATATAATCATTTTCATTAACAAAATGCAATATCTATTTCTATCAAAACGAAGTTGAAATACCGAGGTAGAAAAGAATAGAATGGAGTTCAGAAATACCTCATCTTTCATTTTTATCTAACCATTGTATTTGGTATTAGGAACTTCAAAACATATGATTTTAACATAATGATGGCATTAAAAGTTTGCACAAATGCACAACAGTACTTTCTGCACCGTTCTACGCAAAATTAATAACCGGCTCTTTAGTTGAGTTATGGTGGTATGCTTCTTTAGTGAAGTCTTGAATGCCTAGTTGAAATTTCTTCACGAAGCAAGGATTTATCGTAAAGTCTTTAGCCAGTATTCAAAATTGTAAGACATGCAATATATGAGTAAAAATACTTTTAATGAAACTGAAAAGTGTTGAATCTAGTTATTTGATTTCATTTTAATTCCAACTAGGTAACTGACACACAAAAAGTACAGACGACAAAAATGAAATCCATTGTAGGGACGTCAGGGTACACATTATTAGATATAACTAGAGGAAATCCACGCATACCAAAGCTTTCCCTCCTCTCAAGAACTATTCATATCCTTTAGTGAAGTTCATGATATCTAAGGATCTAAAATTGAGAGATATATTTCATTGAGAAAAAATCTTTCCCTTTAATATTGGAGGTGTAGGACTCATTCGAAAAATGTAAACTTCTGCAATTTTTTAAAATATAGAGGTTTCACTGAAAATAGAGATGCCCATATTCAAAAAAATTAAAGAGATAAATTGCAGTCTCTTTTTTTCAAAAAAAAAAGTTTCAGGACCTTGAAGTGAAGTACCACCGAAAATTAAAATATTATATAAGTCCCTGAACAACACTACCTTCTGGCTTGTTTTCCAAGTTTCAGCTCAAAAGCTTCTAACAAGAGCAACACGTGACGTATACGTCCATCCAACGATATAAACATCGCGATTTGGGGGAATGATATTGTTAATATCTCCTCCCAATTGCACAATACGTAACCATCATTGGAACAGCACTTCTAAACCTTAACCCTGACGCGCGCGCGTGTGTGCGAGAGAGATAGAACTCAAAAGAACCTTGGATTTTACGGCCGGAGATACGAGATTGTATTGTTTAGGTGATTCCAATACCTATTATTCAGAAACTAGAGAAAAGGAAGGAAGAATAAAACGGAATATTGATCTACTGGAGAAACTCCACAAGGAAGTAAGAAATAACAAAAAAAAAAAAATGTGTGAACATCTAAGAAGTATGACATGTAGCAGACTTCCAGCTTTGGCAATGGATTATTGATTAAAAGGAAAATTATATTTTTGAAGACTACGAGCGATATGGGCATCTCAACAGTTTGAAAAAACAAATTCTTGATGTATAAAAATAATCCGACAATACGTATAAGAAAAATGTTTGTACAAACTAATGTTTTTGTAAAGATTTTGTCATTGGTCATACACTCTTTGACCTAATTAGGTCGTAATTATTTAGAGTTCCGGGAAACGTGTAGTAATGAAGTGCCAGATTTTTTTTAAATAGAGAAACTAATGAAGGAGTCAGCGTTTAAAACAAATAATTCTTTATTGGAGAACTTTGCACTGAATGGAATTTTTTTAGACTGTCGTATACACTGGATAGGCTCCAGTCGGAATATCACGGAGGTTATCAACGCCCAAAAAGGTTTCATGAAACGTAAAAAAATGAAATAAGTAATGCCAACTCATTAGAACTAAGTACGTTTAGGTAATATTAATTCAATTATTATAAGATAATTGTAATAAATTGTTCAAAATTTGCCAGAAATCCAAATAATTGTATATTAATTATTCATTTGCCCAGAGACAGAGGTCAATAAGACAAGTGTGATGGTTAGAAAAGTGAACGACCTTTTATGACTGCAACTTTTCGAAGGAAACAGCGGCTAAATTTGATCTCCTTGCATTGTTTCATTATTTCTGTTATAATAATGGTGAAACCAACAATTGGAACGCTGGGATGTTTTTTTCTTATCAGTTATTTCTTACCTTATTTTATGAAAAAAACAAAACGAATATATGATCACTTTTTATCATCGTAAATGCGCCTATTGCGTGTTGGCTAAGGCTAACCACGTCACCATTGCAGAGTACTCTTCAGTGCCTCTCTTAGTGACGATTCCGTCTGTTCCGACTACGAAGGAATGAAAGTAATGAATGAACACAACCGCTGCTCCATTGTATCCACCATCCTTCAATCTTCAAACGATGTCGACATAATTTCCATGGACTACGCCGCTTTTCTTTCCCACAAAGACATAAAATAAGTACTATATATTCTGATTATAAATGTTTGTTCTTTGTTTATATTTTTTAAAAGAAACGTAAATAATATGAGAGGAAGTGAAATAAATTGAACTTACACGAATTATACCAGGGTTCTGTAGCTTGAAACGTTCGGCTTGCAGAGTTTCGCGCAAGTTTCGCTTGGGTGCCCTCCTGAGTAGGGTGGCGACTGCGAAATCTTCATGTTCGCCTGCTCGGCAACGAGTCGCCCCTCCGAGCGGCGAAGAATCGGACCTAACGAGCGTCTCTGCACGCGCCAAACCCACCGATCGTTCGCCGCCTGCCACCGCCGCCGGGCCGCAGGGGGAGAACGCAGGGCTACCATCCGCATGGGATAAAAGCACGCCTCCTCCCCTCACCCCATCCTCTCCCCCTGCCCCCCTTTCGCCACGCGCTGCGCACGAGGGGCACGGGGCACGGGCTCGTGCAGGAAACGGGCTGCGGGGCGGTGCGCGTTGCCCTTTGGGAAAGTGGACGTCTTCTAGCAGCCTCGCCTCAGCCTCGCCTCTGTCCGCTTTTTAATTAGCTAGCCTATACTTTTGAACTTATATTCAACTTTAACACAGACATTTTAAAAAATGTTCTCAACTATCAACAAAAAATCAGATGTAAAAGTAAGGATGGCAGCTTAACAGAGGTCCTTCAAAGGTAGAATATCATTACCTACCAGATTCGATTTTAGGCAGAGAATTCCTCTGTTTTCCCGGAGGTTTTTTCATTCTTTGGGTGAGATACTATTCGTTATACCTGAGGATATTATATCAGAATCATGGGAGAATAGTTGTTTAATTACAACTCTTCTTCTAGGCCTCTTTCTAAATCGAGTTTTCCTGATTCTTTACACCTAATCTTAATTATTACTTATCGCCTTCCTTTCAAGAAAAAAGGTGCCATCCGATTATCTACTTGTACTTTAATTTCAGAAACACCGGAAGGAAAATCGTGAAAAAGTAGAG